TTATATACCTTTAGAAGATTCTCAAATATACACATATATATATATATATACGTGTGTGTGTGTGTGTATGTATAGCTTTTTTTATGAACTTGCTTATGGTAGCCATTGGATTCTTCTCTTTTAGTTGCTTTATTGTGACATGGCGAAATGGATTTTATGGGAATTTGGGTGCGACCCTTTAAGCTTTATTTAATTTTCACTTTTTGAAAAGTTACGTTTCGAATTCAAGGTGCTTATCTCACCCGCACGTGAATTAACAAAAACTCTTGTGTACTCCGTTTTGTCCCCTAATTTCTTTAGTTCGATATGTTCAATTTTAATCGGTTTATATGTTAAGATACAATTTTTTCTCGTTAAATTACGAGTTTAAATTGGTTTATATTATAGTCGGTAAAAAAAAATAGACAAATTACGATAAATTTATATTAAATTGGGTTTGAATTGAATAATATATAAATCTGAATGTCCAAACAAATGAATAAAAAAATAAAACATATCATAAATTTCGGAGGAAATTTGGGTTTGTTGTTCATAAGAACAAAGTCAGATTTGAATTTGATAAAATACATTTAAAATTCGCAATGTTATTGTTTATATTATTTACATGCAAATACACGTAAGAGATTGAATAGTAATAGTTTATTTTTATCATTATAAATTATTAACATATTTATTTATTTTGAGTTGTATTTTCAATGAAATGAATATCTAAAAATATTTTTCGTATAAATCATATTTATATGAAAAAAATTATATGTTCAGGTTCAATTGATTTATATATTAAGATACAGTATTTATTGTTAAACTATGAGTTTAAATTGGTTTACATTATAATTAGTGGAAAAAAAAAATTGGCACTAAGTTTATAGTAAATTACGTTCGGATTAAATAATATGTAAATCCGACTATCTAAACAAATTAATAAAAAAGTTAAATCTGTCATAAGTTTCGAAACGGAATTATGTTTGCTCTTCATGAGAATGAGTCAGGTTCGAATTTGATAAAATATATTTAAAATCCAACATGTTATCATTTATATTTTTTTACTTGAAAATACTCATAAGAGATTGAATAATAGTAGTTTATTTTATCATTATAAATTATTAATATATTTATTTATTCCGAATCATATTTTCTCACCAATAATAAGATGAATTTTTTCACTATTTCATATACTAAGCGATTTTATTTGGAAAAGAAAATGTTACATACTAATGGATTCAAGTCTATAACCGTAGGTTACAATGCACGGGATCTTGTATCACTTACCAACGAGGTCCTATCGATTAGTATTGCACAAAAAAAATCGATTATAGACACTAATATAATTAGTTATGCCCTTTATAGATAAACTTGGGATTTGCACTCCAAAATAAGATCAGTTTAAGATCATGGGATTATTTTTTATCATATTGTAACGACTTTTGTACAAAATATATTTTGAAGTAACTGCCCTATAAATTCTATATCTATCTATACAAAGAATAAATTATGTAACAAATGAGATTCTTATTTATACATGTGGTACTTTAAATTTGGAACGAGCATGAAAAAATTAACGATATTTTTTTATCTTTTGAGTTATTCTGCTGAATCGGTCGTTCAAGACTTTTGATCTCTACCCGGAGCCGACGAAAAAAAT